CAGGGGATATCGATTAATCGTGAAAGAAATGCATTAAAAGAAAAAAATCGAGGATAGTTTCGTGTGACATATGCCAAGTCTGAGCTATTTTGGTCTCAATGTCTCCGTCCTTCCCTCGTTATAAGGAAGGCACAGGCGGGCGCGGGCAAATCGAGCCTGGGTCTCCTGTGTGCACACACGCAAAAATCTCACAACTTGCATGTAGCAAGTCTGCCAACAAGCCGTCAACAAGTTGTGTTTGCACTGCTTGTCCCAAGTTGTCAACAGGCATGGAACAACTTGTTAACAATTGTAACAACCTTGCTGATATTATCAGGCTTGTTGCAAGGTTGTTCCAACAACTCCGATACAGTCATGTATACTAAAAATAGAGTCACGATCTTTCTTAACAACCAGTTTATATTAGTTTATACCTGTAAACCACATATAAATCATAAGTGTTCTTTAGAACTGAAAATACGCGGAGTGGTTATGACTAGAGAATACTTGTGATTTATATGTGGTTTACAGGTATAAACTAATATAAACTGGCCGTTGAGAAAGATCGTGAGTCTATTTTTACGACCATATGGAAACCAGGCTTAATGGACCTTTCACCTTTTGACTAAAATTTAGATCTCAACAAGTCTAGACAAAAATTTTATCACAGCTTGAAAGAGCATCACAAAATTAGTAATATTCCAAAGTTTCATTGCGAAATGTTGTAAAATGCGGATAATATAGCCTTGCGAAGTTTGCCATTTTCAGTCATTTTGTATTACGCGAGGGAAATACATACCTTCTTCGGAAAAAGGGTGTGTATTTCCCGTTTGTAATACAAAATGACTGAAAATTGCAAACTTCGCAAGGCTATATTATCCGCATTTTACAACATTTCGCAACGAAACTTCGGAATATTACTAATTTTGTGATGCTCTTTCAAGCTGTGATAAAATTTTTGTCTAGACTTGTTGAAATCTAAATTTTAGTCAAAAGGTGAAAGGTCCATTGCGATCACTTTCTTTTGAAATACAAGCAATCAAACACAACGGATTAGGTTGACTGAACACATTTCAAACGAAAGTGGTCGCAAAAAGTTGAATGTCTCGCGACATTTTTCACTGATTGGGAATCGGCCCCTGTGGTTAAAGCGTCCGATTGCCAAGTTACTTGATTAATCGCAGAAAGTGTTTCAATGTTTTCTTGCGGTCCCAGAAAGTAAGGCACTGGTCATTAATAATGGGAGGGGGGCGGTGGGTGAGAAAACGTGGGCGGCTTCGACTATTTATGCCTGAATTGGGGGCGGCCTCAAACTGAAAAATATTTGACAAGGGGCGACCCCAATTTTTTAATACTTTCCTACTCATTTTTAATCTGTCGCCTTTATCGTATCCGTAATCATTTTGAATACTGGTCATCTGATTATTTACGCTACACAATGTCTTGCACCAGTACTTGTGGTACCTGGTACCTATTTTACACCAAAGAATGTAACGAATTAAATGTTGGAGGTGGGGGCGTCTTGAAAATAAAGGCCTTGCGATTGGGACGGCTCTAAAAATGTTCAATATTTGATATTTATCACCCCATTATTAATGATCGCTCCTTAAAATATTTTTTATCGACTCATCTGTACAATTATTATCTTTTACAGCCGCTCGACGCACACAATCTACTTCGACCAGAAACGGTCGAATCCTTATTCGTTCTACATCGCATCACAGGCGATAAAAAATATCAAGACTACGGATGGAAAATATTCCAAGCATTTGAAAAACACACGAAAATCGAAGGAGGAGGCTATTCTTCGATAAAGAACGTTAAAGACGCCAGTAATCCCGGATTCAGGGATAAGATGGAAAGCTTTTTCCTTGGCGAGACTTTGAAATATCTATTTTTATTGTTTGCTGACAAAGAAATCGTTCCTTTAAACAAATATGTCTTCAATACCGAAGCCCATCCGTTGCCTATATGGCAGGATTAGTGTGTATTTAAATATTAGCTAGAATTTGATATTATACAATATAGGTTATTACACTAAAAATAAATTCAATCGGTGTCATGTTATATCATTTTAAATTCATACAGAATCTCATAGGATATCGAATAGAATTAGCTTTCAAATGACACCTTTATGGAGTGATTGCGATAAAAAGTGACCAAATGTGATCTGATTTAAAGAAGATTTTTGAGAATTGGAAGAAAATTTTAAAATGTTCTTTTAAAATGTTCTTTTTTTGAAGTTCCAATTTTGGAACATTTGATCAAATATTTGTTGCCCATTTGAGAAACGTATGCCATTGCGAGTCTAGTCTGCAAGCTTCCAGTGTTGTAAAATATTTTAGCCACTCATTAAAGACCATGTCAAGTCCGTTCTGCGCATCAGTTCTGCTCATAACAATGGGGACCCACAGAAATAAACATTGCCGAAATGAGTCATATGCCCTTTAAATTTGGAATATTGCATGCGAGTAAAAGTTTTTCAAAACTTGATGCTTACACATGCGTTGCGCCATATGTTTACTCAAGGGACTTCAATAGACCTTATGCATAATGACGTCACAAGGCTTGATGCTCGCGAGGAATGCTGGTCTTAGTAGTCATGGTCATCGCCCGGGAAAATTTCGTTAGTGGCCATTTTGAATTGTTTAATTGTGACGTCATGCATGAGGTCCATTTAAATCCCAAATGAGAATAATTTCAATACTAAGACAATAGCTTTACATGCAATCCTCAACGACAACGGTGGAAAAAATGCGATTTCAACCGGTATTTTTAAACGTATTGTATTTGGGTATTTTTGATCGCAATGATACAAGAAAGGTATAGCAATCGACAGGTAAAAGTCTGATCTTCACTGACTGGTATGAAAAAAGTAAATGCAGGAACGTAATATATAATGCTTGATAACATGCCAGAGTTGCATTATCTTTTTTTATAGGCCCTGTAGAGAAGCCAAGATTGCGGAAATTCAAGTCTAGTGCCAGTCCCTTAATACTTTTTTGTCTGCGCGGTTAATACGGAGCTGGCAAGCAATGTGCCGAAATTTCGTATTTTCACATCGATTTAAAGAATATTTATAATACAATATTATGTTTTTGACGTTACTCTGAGTGTATATCCACGCCGGGCAGGCTGAAAAGTTAGCCTGACCACGGTGGGAATCGAACCCGTGACCTTTGGGATACTGGTCCAATGCTTTGCCAACTGAGCTACGAGGCCAATTAGTCTGTTCGAGTGTGTGGTATTCATGGGCGTACCGGAAGGAAAAAATTAGGGGGGCGGAAAGAAAATTGCCCGACTTTTCGTAAAATTGCCCGACTTTTCGTGATTGTGCCCGACTAGTACCAAAAAATTTTTTCCGGAAAATTTATTTTGGCGACCTCCCCCCCCCGTCGCTAGAAAAATTTCGGTCAGTGTACCATATAAGGGGTCAAAAAAATTTTCCGGACATACCAAAATTTTTCGGAGGATCACATAAATTTTCCAAAAAAACACTACATTTGACACAAAATTTACTAAATTTTCGAAAAAATTGACAGAATTTGTCCGATTTTTTTTTATTACAACCCAAAATTGCCCGACTGTTAATCGAATATTGCCCGACTGCCCAAAAAACTGGGGGGGCTACCGCCCCC